TTGTTGTACCAGTGTTCTTCATACTAGGGCTCGGGTATTCTATACTAGCAATGCATAAGGACAACAATGAGCTCAGCCGATTCTCCTCCTGCAAGGGAGACCTGCAGCCAACTAGAGACAAGGACGTATTAGTAGCAGTATAAAACAAGTGGGGCCGACACCGTGAGGCAATTGGATGGACGGCTCCTGACGTATGGTCTCTGGCTTGTAATTCGTCAAAAGGCTAGTCGGTTGATTCGGTCATTTTATGCCAGGGCTCGGGGATTCAACATTGAAGGCAGCGGACACGGTTGGATGACGTAACTTTTAATAATAGCCGCTTACAAACTTTGGATAGCAGAGGTAAATACCACTGACTGCCGGCTGCAGTTGCCATTGCAATTCATGCAATATTGCATGTTGTAAGGGAGAAAGCTGACGATAATACTGTTTTGCGAACATAGGTTCGCAGCAATAAAGTCAATCGTTTTTAAAAAAGCGGAGATTTTTGTAAAATTCTACGGATTTAAAAATAATTAAAGGAGTCAAAATTAAAATGGCTGCATTTGTCGGGGTCACCAAATGTAATGGCTTAGCACTACTTTACAACTCTCTAATTAACAATCCATAAATACCCGCGGAGAAGGAGCAGAGAAGGGGGCAATGGACTCGACCTTTTATCAGCGTTGAGCCAGCCAGGTACCATTTTGTGTGGATTAGCATAGCAGACAACCAATAATGGCAACCGAAAAAATTAAAAAGGAGCCATTGTAATCAATAAACCTGTAGGCAAGCTTTGCTCACGCTTAATTATTAATTTACTATAAACCTAGTAAACGTATGGCTCTCTGATAACCTAATGACCTCAGCGTATCACAGTATCATTCCTCCATCCAAAAAATCGAGAGCTAAATTCAGCCCCTGCATTCGCGATTTATTTCAATGCGATTCCCCACCTTGCATATTTTATCTTTCGTCTGAATATTAGCATTCTGATAAACAGTTACGTTGAGCGAACGTTTGTGTCCATCACTTCGAGTAAACTTCCTATCATCGTTATATTCTCGCGTCTTTTGAAAATTGATGTTTTTAGTTTAGCCTGCTCATTGCTATACCTTCTAGCAGAAATATGTAAGAATTGATTATTAGTGCTTAGAAAGTTTGAAATAAAATTATTTTCTATTGCAACGTATTTGTTGTTCTCCGCTAGACAAAACCTGCAGAAAGTCTAGTGAAAACGGATTCATACAGTTACGTTTGCGGAAAATTTATTTCAAGACAGGTTTTCTAAGTAAAACGTCTTTTCTTCTTAACTGAAGAAGGAGACCGTGAAAAGAGTCACTGTCCTCGTCAAACATGTTGCTCTGAAATTTGAAACAAGCACTATTAAATTCTGTTAGGTGCTTATCACTTAAACTCTCAAAAAAATATAATCCTAAGTGTATCAGAAAAAGTAACGAATATGATCGTTGAATGTACAAATGTAACCACCAACGAAACAAAAAAATGAAATACCCAAAGTAAACGTTTTTCAACTTTGAAATGTGAATGCACGCTCAAGCCACCATTCATAATATCAACTGCCCTGCACATACGAAATCAATCAGTTTATACTAAATATAACACTTTGAGTGACTATAATTAAAAATCCATTTTTTCACAAGCTTATTTAATCTATTCGTAGATATTCCATCATATTTTAAATACTTTATGTTAGATTTGGGGAATAGCACTATTCTGAGAATGGGAACTAAATGTACCAGCAATAAGCTGCGGAATCGAATTTTTGAGTTTCGTGTTTTTTGAACTTAAAAGTTATTTAAGATTGCGTTGAATCTCCTTTTTATTATTTCTTTATATATTTAGTTGTTTCCGAGGTAATACGGTCAGTAATCAACCGTCATATTTGCACTTGATCAGAGATTACTTAAAATAGAAACATGCTCCCATATTTGCAGTAATAAAATTACAGTGTTGTACCTTAATTAAAATATCAGTAAGGCCCCTCGCACACGTTGATCGATCCAAGCTCAGAGCTGTAGTCTGCAAAGACACCGCTTCTGACAATAATTTTAACCCGCGGTCAGTTATTTTGTTTCCTAAATAGGAAGGATTGGTTTTATTTACCATGCAACGTGAACCACATAAAACAATTCAGACAGTTTTAATTTGGATTAAAAATATAAATTAAAAAGGAAAATGTAAGCCCAAGTTTGTTCTGTACATAACAAAGTCTGAAGACCATGCAACTCACTAGACAAATTTATCATGGCAACCTGATAATTGCCACGTATTCTGGTGGCAAAGGGACCAATTTTTTCCCTGTGCGCCAAAAGTGGATGGCTGGAGACTGTTTGTACCTAAGAAAAACCATTTGGCATACCACTTAAAGAGATTGTATTTTGTGATTATTACTAGAACAATGTAATTTAACTCAATAATATTTCAATTCATTTCAATAATTTAAATATATCTGTCACTAGAGTATACGTCAACGATTGATAAGACAAATGCTGAAATTTAAACAATTCTATAGTGACTAATCTTTAGTAGAATGCGAGTCCCACCTTAAATGAAAAATTCTCTTTCTGATAAGGTGATAGCTCTTTTGATTTACAGGTGTCTTCTTGTTCAAAACAACTCTTCTTTTCACCTTTCTGAAACATTAAGGATAAAACATGACCTTCTCATTTTTGGCATTTTTATAATTATGAACACTAGATTTATTAAAAATTTAAATGTTTCCTTTTGAAAATATTTGTTCCAGCTTTATTTGCTCACAATTAATATAAAAAACCTAAGACCCAACGAGATTACCATTTCGAAATCAACAAAATGATTTATTTAAGTAATTAATACTACCTGGCTTTATTAACGCAGTAATATAACTTATTGTTATTGCAAAATTAAATTATTCGAAGATGTGCACAGATTTAATTCGATTTTCCA